AAATGGGAGATATTATTGAAGACTCAAATCCAGCCGAAAGAAATTGAGAAATTAATTGAAGTGAAGTTAAAAATAAATGAGAAAATATATTTAAACTTCAATTGCAATATTTCCAGTTGAATTTTCCCCTCGACAATTATAGCTCATTAGATCCTTCGAGAACCACTTGAAAATCTTCCACTCATCCCCTCAATTCACAGAAAACTCAGAATTACCCAACTCGTGTCACAGACCTCAAAAACAACAGTCTCTCCTCAACCTCTAAATATAAATCGAAGAAAGCACGGGTGGCCACGGTACCCCCATTCCTCGTGCATCACTAAACCCTTGATTCACTCCTACCCCCAAAGGGAGGAAAACCCCCAAAAACAATATGCAATTACCTCCGTAAAAATTAATGAACGATCTAAAGTTCTGAACTGTAAAAAATACTTTGATGTTCTCAAGAGATTTTATCACAACTGCAAAAAAGCGCCAATCAATTCGAATGGATTGAAAATCGAGAATATTGATTAACTCGATTTCTCTATAAATACGGGATTATTATCTCAGGAATAAAAAAATACAGACTAGAAATGCTGAAAAGTACTCACCATTCCTGAAGTTCCGTTTAAATCCACGTGCAGCATCACTGCACCAGAGTGGTACGAAAAAGCCAAGAAGTAGAATGCAGAGTCCCGAGGCACTGTTAAAATTTAGTGACACCATTTTTATTTATTTCCAAACTTTCACTCTCACGAATTCACTCCAACCCGTTGACAGAATTATTCGAATTATTTTTGTATCACTAAAAAACACTGACAATCACGTGATACTATCTCACTGGTTATTTTTACACCCGAAATACGATACGAATTTAACTCAACAATTTCGTGGTAAAAGAAAACTAAGCGCCACTGATTTTTTACTCGGATGTTTACGCATGAATTTTGGGTGTTTTTCTTTATTTATTTATTTTTTTTCACTGCACTGCACTTTGCACAATGACCACCACAGTATTCCCATGAGTCGTTTCACTCACGGATAATTTGATAGAACGAGGGGGATTAATCAATCATCGTAAATGAAAACCTGGTGAATCTTGGGGGCCTCTCAATTTCACTACTCGCCTCAATGCTCTTCCCCAAACTCTCAGCGTCATTGCAACGATGAAATCGTTGACTCGGATTGAGAGATTATTCGGGAGTCGTTCGTTCGTTCGTTACTGGACGTTCTTTGGAATTACTCTGGAATATTTTTAATTTTCCGCAATTAGAGCGAATTATTCCCTGAATTAAATGACTTTTTTTTACTCTTCAACATTAATTCATTTCCCCTACAATTGCCATAAAAAAATCAATCCCCTAAATAATCAAAATATCAAAACTTCAAGAGACATATCTGCCGAAATTTCTATTCAATAAAAAATTTTCAAAATCTCGCTGAACATGACACATGACAACATGACTTTTATCAAATTGAGACAATTTAATGAACACCGAAAAAATTCATTTTTCAATTTCATCAATGAAAAATGGAGGGAAAAATGAATTTCGCCAGTGTCAGATAAAAATCACCACCAAGACAACCGAAATACCTAAAAAAATAAAAACTCACATGTGCAAATCAGCTGGCTTCTCTCCCTCGTCGACGAATTTTCCGAAATCTTCCCCAACGTGATGTAAATAAACCGGTGAGAAAAATTAAACTAAGTAAATGACGACGCTCTGGCTCTGTGAACAGCCGCGCGTGGTAAACGCCGCGAGCAAACTAAAGAGCAAAGTTCTGATGGTCTGTTGTGCTGGCACCTCTCGACGCCGGCATGAGAGTCGGCCGGTTGTAAACCTTCTCTTTATTTTCCACCAGGGCCTTCGACAGCCCACCCCCACTGATTCCACCTTGACTGCTACCTCACACCCAGGTATACCAAGGGGGCTACCTAAGGGCTACTACCTCCACTCCTTCAAAACCTGAAGAGGACAGGTACTGCCAGATGCCAAGAGGTTTATTGCACACCGTAAATGCCCATTGCACACTGCACTCCAGCCCTCGGCTAAATCTACAAATAATTTTCCCATTGGGATTATGAAATGCCTC